CCAGCAGTGCTCAAGTTATCTCAGGTAAGTCTCTGCTCCGGCTCACTTACCAAGCAAAGCTTGGACCATTTTCTGCTTGACCTCCTGGAAGTGGTTGTCAAAATACCCAAGTCGGTGGGCTCCAAAACACCAAAGAGCCAACAGAACCACATAAGTCCCTAGGTAACGCACTACACACAAGCACTCAAAGACTAGCATTCAGTGCACGCTATTCCATTCTTTTCCACTTTTACTACACCTCCTCCTATTGCTCCCCCCCAAGATGAAGTTGGCCCACAGGGGACCTCTGGACAGCAGCTTCTGTGGTTCCTTGCCATCTGCTGCTTTTGTAGCCAATGCACACAAACTATTATAACTGGAATACTTCCCTCTCTTAATCCAACAACACTTCAAAGCGAGTGAGGATGAAATGTTTATTTGGACAATTCAAATTTCCGGAAAAAATGCTTAGAGCCCTTTGCTATTGTAGAACTTTGTGCAAAAGTTGTTGGTGTAAACGGCACACGCTGCATTAGAGTGGAAAGAGCCACGCCAGCTAAGCCTCATGCATTTCTGCACCTAAAACTTCCCAAAGTTCTCCAGTCACCCTGGACACCCAGCAGATCTGTGACTTTTAGCTTCCAACCTACTTAGCAACAGTTATATTGAATGAGGATTCCAGAAATCCACACATCCAGAGGGTACTCAAATCATGGATGGACGCACTGAATTGTACAGCCACTGACCACTCTAGCTTTATAATATTCACAGGCCAGGACAATATTCTTCTCAATAATTGCTAGGAAATTCAAATGTGTCTAGTGAAAAGGATACTAGGGGTGACCTGATAGCCACCGGTATGTTCCAATATTTGAGGGGCTACCACAAAGAAAAGGGGGGCAACCTGTTTTCCAAAGCACCAAAAAGCAAGACAAGAAACAATGGATGGAAATTAACTAAGGAGAGAAGCAACCTAGAACTAAGGAGAAAATTCCTAAAGGAGAGAGCAATCAACCAATGGAATAGCTTGAAGTTGTGGGTGCTCCATCATTGGAGGCTTTCTAAAAGAAACTGGACAGCCATTTGTCTGAAATAGCAAAGAGTCTCCTGCTTGAGCAGGAGGTTGGAGTAGAAGACCTCCAAGGACCCTTCCAACACAATTATTCTGTGTTCTAAACAACCTCTGCAGATCAGACTGAAGCCCCAGATTAGATTATCAGCCATCTGTTTCCATAGCAACCAGTTTTGATGCCTTCAAAAAGCCTCCAAACATTTGAATGGTAGTCATTAAGCGAGTCACCATGTGAGCATGCCTGATTGTGTGAACTTTTTTGGGGGTGGTCATTAAGTTGAATGCAGGAGTCAATAGGCAAATGTCACAGTTGTAAGGCAAATCCATTTTATCCAATGGACATTTTTGACCAGAAATTGGAAGCAAATGCCAGAAATCAAAGTCAAAAATCCCAGTCCCGTGACTGTGGGACACTGTAAATTGCTCTAACTTTGAGCCAGGGCCCCCGAATGTGATCACATGACCGGGTTGGGTGCAGCCGCCGGAACGCTGAACGCTGAACTCGGGTCCTCAGTTCCTTTCAGGGGGTTCCTTGCAAACTCAAGGATCAGACTATCTCTACTCTGCCAGCAGTCTTGATGGAAACATTTCAGAAATCTAACATTTTAATAACAGGAGAGATGATTTTGCTCAGCTGCTCTCTCCTTACTATACAAATTGAGCAAATGCACTCCAAAACCATTGTTCAGGCAATGCCTTCTTCCTAGGGCCAACTCAATGTTCAGAAAAGGCATTCAGGTGTTTGAACATCCCTGACCTTCTCATCAGACCCGGTGTTAAAAAGCTAAGTTGTGGGGGGAGGCGAGGGGGAGGTGAGTGGCAGGAAGATTGAAGAAAGGTTTGACTAGATGCTGAAGCCTGAAGCCTGCAGTACTATTCCCATGGCACATCCTCATCTTCTTTCACTTGCTGTAATTCTTAAAAATTCACTGCAAGTTCTACTTTTAACACAGACATTTCATCAGAGGCCTGATTATTCCACTGTGATTACCTAACTGCACAAGTCAACAGACGGACTCTGCAGAGTGGGTTACGCTAGTGTAACAAGAGGGCCCTTGACTGCCTTCCAGAATTAATTTTTTTAAGTATCTGTATTCATAAAGAATTCCACTCTAATCTATCACTCTTTTATGTAAGTACAGAAGTAACACAATTTTCCGGCACAGCGATGAAATTACAGGACGTGGAAGATGCCAGGAGCAAAATGCCAGGCAACGCGCAGCTCGTGGTTCAACCTGTTGCAAGAAATTCAGCCAAGACCTTAGCTTCTTCTCCGAACCCAGCCCTCCCTTTTATGCCATAAAACGGGTTATTTGTCTGGGCAGAGCTGAAAGGGCAGCAAAGGCTCGGAACACAAGAATGGTGGGAACGAAAGCAACAGCAGGCACTTTCCCACCAGGGTGAGCCTTTAGCATAACCACATCCTCTGCATGAGGAAAGAGGCTTTGGAAGCCCACAAAAAAAAAGTCTGTACCTGCAAGGTAGAATGGAAAATTTTCCTGTCCTTGGAAAGGCTTTCATACAAACCAGGATCTCCCCTTGTCAATTCACACAGCAACCCTTCTGGAACAGATGCTTTGGCACAAGCAATCCACAGGGACTTGCCACCTGTGGAGGGCATTTTCACCACTGAGCAAAAAGTCAGCATCAATTTTACACAACGTTCCAGGAAGGTCTGGAAGGCTGTGAAAAGTATCAGCCGGGGAGCTCTGGGCAGGCAGTTCAAGAGAAGGACCTCTTGAAAAAGAAGAGAGCTTTCTTGAGAAGAGTTTGCACAAGACCCAGAGAGCTGCCTGATGTGAGGGTTGGGAAGAAGGACCTGGAGGCCACAAGTTCAGTTCCTTCTCAACCTTCAAACTCACTGAGAGTGAGGTGGGGCAGGTCACTTCCCTGCCTTGTTGAGAGAGAATAAATCAGAAGGAGGCAGAGCTGGGAACGTTGCCTTGAGCTCCAGAAGGAGAGGAGGAGAGAGCTTTAATATGAATATGAAGAAATTGGGGTTTTCTCATCCAAGCTGTGGCTCAGAGGCATGCCAGCTCTCCCCCAGTCCCTTCTGGAGAATTCAAACCCAGATGAGCTTCTGTAGAAAAGCTCCCCCTCCCGAAACAAATAAACTGGCACTACCAAAGAACAATGAGTGGAGGGGAGCGGGAGATGGATTACTCCTCAGCCATAAATGCCCCAGATTTTGAGTCAGGTCTCTCTGCAAAAGGCAGTTTCTGCCCAGCGAGACTCTCAGCCCTGAGAAGCCTGCAACCCTGCCCTGACGCCTTTCAAACAAGAAACATTTTCGGCACTGCCCCGACCTCCTGGCCTCCCATCTCCCTGGCTGGCCCGAACAACAGATGCCTCTTTGTGTGAGCCAGCCGTCCCTCCTCAATCACTCTGACAGCCAAGATTCACATTTACAGAGCGCTGGGAAAGCAACAGGCAGGGAGGAAAACAAACAAGCCTTCTGGGCCGAATGCTGAGAACTTTCCCCTGCCGCTAAAGAGAGGAGGCCACCCAGTCGAAAGAGAAAAAGCAGAGGAGCCAGGAGCCCAGGCCCCCTCCACGAGCAAACATTGACGATGGAGCACCAAACAGAAACGCCAGACTCAAAACTGTTTCTGGAAGAACCACTCAATGAGCGATCACACTCAGCTATAAGAACCCAGAATGAAGGGCCAAAATAAGTGATGAGGAAACCGCTTGGCCAGCCAAGCCATCCCCACCCTGTCCAGCTTAGGCCAACTGCATTCTCTGTTCCCACCCCAGGGGAGTTCCGAGTGGACCCTCTCCTGTGGGTGGCTGTTCTGGGAGGCCTTTGCACAGCCCGCAGCAGGAGAGGAGAGGAGAGGAAAAAGACCCCTGTGATTCTTCCCAGGCAAGAAAGGAAGATGTGCGGGAACTCCCTGAGCAGGGACCTTCTAGCAATGGAGGCCAAGGAGAGTCAGCCGAGGGCCCTTCCAGGGGTCAGGCACAGCACAAGTCCGCCGGCACCTCTGCCCCACTTCCACCGATCTCCCAGACAGCTCAGCCAGACCCCTGGGGCGCTTTGCAGACAGGGCCGGAAGCCAGCAAAGGCTGCTCATCAGGCGGACCCCCAGCCGATGATCCCCAGGAACCGAGCCCCCTACAAGCACGGGACGCTCCCACCCCAGTTCCTGGCAAGGTGTTTGCCCTTCTTTCATCAAACTGGGATCTGCCTGCTCTTGCCTGCGAGAGCCAGACAGGTCGTGGTCACTTCTGAACCAGCTGCTTCAGCATCAATCAGGGTTAAAACTTTCGGGGAGGAGTCCAGCTGGCTCCCCGGAAGGGCCCTGGTGCTAAGTAGGTGTTGAACCGAAAGAAGAGCTGGGGAGCAGTTTGCAGGATGATGCCTTCTTGCCTTGTTGCCAGCCGTTAGCGTCATTTGCTGGCCTCTTTATTTCATACAGGCCAATAATTGCCATTGCTGCACTGTTTTGCTTCGGCATAAACACCATCGGAAGCTGTGCAGGTTTTGAATAAATGTAAACCAAACCAAAGGAAATCGGGAATAAGTGAATTACGATGACGAGAGAACATTTTCACATTTACGGTGGTGGGGTTTTTTGTTTTTTTTTTTACATTCTGTTTTCTTCGTCCCTATTTCTACTGCCGGCCAGCACGCCCGGGACCTTGAAAACCAGGCAGAGAAAGAAATCGCGGGGGGGGGGCGGCCGGGAGCCTCTCCATCCTCCGCGAAACTTTCGCAGCCTCCTTCTCTCCCCCCCCCCGCCTTCTTCCCAGCGCTGCCGGCGTCCGTGCCTGAACCAGCCCGGGGGCGGCGGGGATGCTCGCGGCGCCCGCAGGCGCTCTCCGCCGGAGACCCCGGCCGGGGCCCGCCCGCGAGCAGCGTCCCCGCCGGGCACGCGGGGGCGGCCCGCGCCCAGAACAAAGGCGGCGCCCCGGCCGGAGGGTCTCCCGGGGGCAGGGGCGGCCCTACCTGGGGATGGTGACGCACTTGGTGGCGGCGCTCTGCGTGGTGACGGCCTTCTCCAGCTCGTCCAGCTGCCCGCTCTTCTTCAGCTTCTTCACCAGGCTCTTCACCGCCTTCTCGCTCCACTTCTCCTCCTGCCCGGTTTGCTCGCCCTTCTTCCAGCCCAGCAGCCGCTTCACGATGGGCGGCGTGAAGGGCAGGATGGACGACATGGCCGGCGCCGGGAGGCCGGGACTGGAGACCGCCGCCGCCTTCCCCCGGCGGCGCCGAGCCCTCGCCCACCGGACGGCTCGGCTCTCTCCCCGGCTCGGGCGGGCGGGCGGGCGGCGCGGGACCAGGCGCGGCCGGGCTCGGCCCGGGACAAAGCGGAGGACGCCGCCGCCGCCGCCGCCAACTTTTCGCCGACTTCGCCCAACGCGGCTCTCGCGGCGGCTCCTCCTCCCCCCCCCGGCCAGGCGCGCGCCCGGCCTCCTGCGCAAAGGCGCGCGCCCCCCCCCCGCCCGTCTGAGTCGCATGCAAATCGGGGGCCGCCCCCTCCGGCCCCTGGGAGCCCCGCCCCCTCGGCCGGCGCGGGAGGAGGGGAGGCGCCCGGCCCCCCCTCGCCCGCCGCGCTGTCCGCTGCCAGTCTGAAGAGCGGAGGGTCTCGGAGCTCGTGCCGAGCGCCCTTGGGATCCCGCCCTCGCCGCTTTCCGATGATCGGGCTCGACACCGGGCTTCAAAATAGCGACTGCGAGAGGGACCTTAGAGTCTCCGTGGACGGCCCCCTCAGTGTGAGCCGGCCGCGCGCGGCGGTAGCAGAAAAAGCCAACACAATCCTGTCTTATATAAAGAGAGGCACAGAATCAAAAACAAGTGTTAGTACCGCTTTATAAAGCTTAGTAAGGCCACATCTGGAATCCGGCATCCAGTTTTGGTCACCACATTACAAAAAAGATGTGGACACTTTGGAAAAAGGGCAAAGAGGAACCAAAATGATTAAGGAGACAAAAATATGAAGGACGGTTGCAGGAACTGGGCATGGCCAGTCTAGAGAAAAGAAGGACCAGGGGGTGACCAGATAGTGGCCTCCAGAATTTGAGGGGCTGCCCCAAAGTTTGTTTGCCATCACCGCAGCTGAGTTTGATCAGTGCATCTGACCAGCTTGCAATTTACTCTATTGCAATGTTTTTCAACACTGGGCTGGCTGTGGAGTTCTGGGAGTTGGAAGTCCACCCATCTTAAAGTTCCAAAGTTAGAGAAACACTGGCCTGTTCAATAAGCTGAGCCTCATTCATTCATTCATATATGAATATAAATATAAGTAAACCAAAGCACAATTTTCTATTTTCTCTAAAATATTTTGTAGTTGGTTTCTGTAGTTTGTGGAAATGAGAGGAAAGAGCACCGTTCTTAGTGGTTTGCCCACGCACTCAATTATACAGCAAATGATACTTGTAGCAGTGAAGATCATATAAGCTTTCCAGAGAAATATTTAAAAAGCTGTTAGAGAAGAAGGAGCGGGTAAAGTGTTCCTTGTGCATATCAGATAATTAAAGAGGAATTGCAAAGTTTTATAAAAAGAATAAATGTAGCCAACTGTTCCTTGAACCATTCATGACCTCAATTTATCTCTAGAGTAATAACTCAGAAATAATGTTTTAAACTATTACTGTTCCTTTCTGAAGCCTAATGTTTACATGCCCATCGCTTGAAATGTGCCCTATTTGCCCGTGAGAATGACTTACTAGGGCCAAAGATGGACTCTTCAGGTTACCGAAGATGTCATCTGGTTTGTTTGGGTTTTGTTTAAATGTGAGAGCTCAGTCACGGTGATTTTAAAGTATGATTTATTGCAGGGATTGGAAATGTTTTCAGGCATTGGAAACTTTTGCACAATTCTGCACAACAATGCAGGGCCAACATTTAAACATAAACAAAGCTAAACTCTTAGAGCAGATCTTGCAAGATATTAACATTCTCATCCCAAATCTCAGAAACGTGGCAATTTTGCAAGACTGGCCACATTTTTGGTTTAAAATTAATTTAAGTGTTCTGTGAATTGCCAGTGATGGAACTTGGTGCACATGGTTGAGCCATTGTTTATGCCTTCTTGTACAAACCCATGTATAATTTATTCAGTAAACCATAATTAACAAACATGTGAATCCATTTATATTTAACCCAAAGTTTTTACACATTCAAACCTCTGGTTAATAAATACAGGGTGATCCAAGAGACCGTGATTTATTTGTAAGTGTTCCTCACGCCCAGCAGAATGGCTTTTCACCTTGGAAGGCAAGAATGGAGATCTTCTTCTCTAATCCAAGAGGTGACTAGGAAGAGAAGGGAGCCCCCTCCTCATTCCCCTAAGTTATGGACTCTTGCACAACCAGCAAGGCAGACATAATGCAACTGTCTGTCTTTCAGAATTCGTCTTCCCACTGAAGTGGTACCTATAAGATGTATAGGGTTTTCTGCTTAAACAGAGGGTTGGACTAGGAGACCTTCAAGGTCCCTTCCAACTCTGGGGCAAATTCTTCCAGCTTCTGCTGGAGTGAAAGCTTCACTCTCCTAAAGACTTTCAGAGACTAATGCCCGCTGATCTGCCTCCAGGGCACAACAGAGCTGTCTTTGGTTGCTGTTGTAACAATTTGGACCCTTCTAGAACAGGTGCCTCCAACCTCCAAGCCGCAATCTACTACCGGACTATGACCCATTCGGAACAGGGCCGCACAAACAGTGGGCGAGCTCATGGGCACCCACAGCTCCACTTGTGTGAGTGGCAGGTGCTCACATGCAAAGCTCCATTTGTGTAAGCGGTGCGTGTGGGTGCCCGTTGCTGGCACAAATGGAATCATGCACACTTGTGCCCGTATCTGCCACTCACCCGGAACCAGCCCCTCTTCCCTGCACCCGTCCTCCAAGCCAGGAAGGTTGGGGGCCGCTGTTCCAGAAGACATGCAAGATCCTCCTGACTTTTAAAAGAAGGCCAGCTCTTCCAAGGGCTGGGATGGAGAAAAAGCCATCCAGCCCTTCCTTAAGGCAGCATGTTCCACCCCGGAGAGGCCTCTGCTTCCATGGCAGCCTTTGGGATTTCGGCTTCTGGTGGCCCCTTTGCCCAGCGTAGCATTTGGGGACAAGAGGGCAGAAAGGCACAATGGTGCTGGTTACCAAGCAGGCAGGCTTTTCACGCAGGCAGGAACGGAGTGATGCAGCTGGGACTGAACGATGCTTAAACCTCTGCTCTAGCCAGATGTGATTACCATAATTATGCCTGACAACTTCATCAATGTGACATTTGAACCTCTGTTTAAAATTGGCCATACAGGGGGCGTCTCTCGGCTCTCAACTTTCTGTTAAAAATTGCAGTGGGCGAACAGCTGAACCTTCCATTATTTTGCACTTAGCAAAGTGGAACATTGTCTACTGAACAAGATGTGACAACATGATTGTTCAGTTGTGTGTATCTTGGTCTGAAAATCCGGCATCTCTGATATTTTCCACTTTAGTTCTTTCTTTCACTTTTCACAAAAAGTGAAAAACAAGCCATAAACCTTGATACACTCCATGGTACAAAAACATAGAATCAGAGGGCTGGAGGGGATCCTGCTCAAGCCAGGACACCGTCTACCCTCCCAGGCAAATGGTTGTCCAATCTTTTCTTGAAAACAGCTCTGGGAGGAAATCTGTTCCATTGATTAATTGCTCTCATCGTCAGCTGCTGGCACAGGCTGAGTCGATATATAATAAGTGGGTGCAATGGCTCAGCAATTAAAGATGGGGAGTTTGTCAGGTGGATAGCTTACAGCCTGGGTTTAAGACCTGAGCGCCATGCCATGGGATGAGCTTCTGTTATTTGCTCCAGTTCCTGCCAACCTAGCAGTTTGAAAGCATGCAAATGTGATTAGATAAACAGGTACCCCTTTGGTGGAAAGGTAACAGTTTTCCATGTGCCTTTGGCATATAGTCATGATGGCCACTTGACCATGGAAACATCTTCAGACAACGATGGCTTCCTCGGCTAAGAAACGGAGATGAGGCCTGACCTCTGGAGTTGGAAGCAACTGGACAGGGGAAACTTTTTCCTTACCTTTCTAAGTAACAAACCCTCATCACGAGAGAATAGTAGAAAGCTATGCACACCTGGTACTTATTACTGAAGCTCTCTCTGCCTGAGAAGGAGCATCAGTCAAGAATGGGGGGAGCACCAGTGGTTTGACAGTGAGAGGCAAAATCTTAGGAAGGGGCTGCCTTAATAGATCAGGCAGTTAAAGTAATGGTGGGAGATTTGTACCTTCAGAGTTGCAAAATTGATGTCAATCCTTCTGGGTAAACCAGACAGGAAATACAGCTAAATGAACTAATTCTACTTCATTGTAGGACTACATTAACAGAATCTTGCAAGTCTGAAGGTATAAACTTCTCACCACTGCTTTTAACCTGTGTGTGTGTGTGGGGGTCACCCTTCTGAAATTTAAGCCAGTGGAACCTCCCCCCTCTCTTGTCCAATCTTTTCCTAGGCAGCATCTCTTCCCCTCATCCCTCAAGGTCATCCTCACATACCAGAAATATGCTATACAGATTTCAAATTGTACAGAGCCATGATGGCTGGTTCTCAATGTCCATGTGTTCAGTTAGGCTGCACAGGAAAAGTAATGCTACCACTGGTGCGCCAACTCTTAGGATCAGAATTATGGCCTTGCCTGAACTCCAGGACCTCAGCTCAGGGCTGGTGTTGGAATCCTCCAAAGCCTGTGACTTTGGATGAATTCAACACTATCCCCAGAATTGATGCCCGATGGCTTGTGAGTTCGTGACTTCCGTGGTGAATGTGGGTTTGTCATGGGTCATTGCATCTCCATCATGCACCCTTGAACAGCTCACACGAGAAAAATCTGTTTTGTTCCTCAAAAGTCCAGTTGAATGGAATCCCCTTTATTTATTTAATTATCCTTCCTGATTTGCCATTTAATATATTAGGTTGATTTTACTGATTTAGCTTTATTTTTGGATCAATTTATTTTTGTTCTGTGCTACCTAGAGTCATGTTACTTCAGTTGGACTGCCTTATATAAATGCATGAAATAAATACATACATAAACAATGAATAAATAAATAACATTTAATTTGGGGAACAATAAGTATGCTTTGCAGTGATCGAATTGCCCTCTTGTCAAAATGGTGATCGTTGCTTCCTTGGACCTCCGCAGCGGAGAAGCACCTATTAGTATGATCTGCCCAGATCCTGAATGGATCTGGAGGGTTTCTAGAAGTGCTTGGGGGTTTTCTCCTCTGCCTCACCCTTGGACCGCTCCTATGAAGAAACAAAGGAGGACAGGCAGGGGAATCTCTTGCATGGATTGTAAAGGGCCACCAAAATCACACCCATTTCTTTAAATAAGGACTCCTGCCTTGGGTGGTGTGTGTGTGTGTGTGTGTGTGTGTGTGTGTTT